TCATCCACATGTCATCCACGCTTTTAATTCAACAATTATATTATATTAACCATAGTATCCAAGGTTGGTATTAATATTCAATGGGGTCCGTAAGTCTTAACAGTAAGTATTAATGGTACTACTACGTACTGTAGTACAGTACGGTACTGTAGTTGTTTTGGTTTACTGGTATTGCACTACATGTACACTACTGTAGTAACATACGGAGTATAACTGTAGTGTACTCCGGAGTAATAAGAACAACTCAAATGATTACGTAAGCAATGGTGGTAGTACTGGCTACGCACCATCCGAAGAACCGCAAAAGCACTTCGTCATTATTGCCGCCACTATGACAACGACAAAATACCAGGCCGTTTCCATTGGTGCACGTGCTGCTTCTCCCAAGGATGGTCATCAGAAGGCCAATGCCTTTTCGAAGCTCCTCTTTCGATGGGCGACGCCATTGATGGCTCTGGGCAACGAGCGGCAACTTGACCCCGCTGACGTATGGCCTCTTCAGCTCGAGAACCAGTGCAGCGTCGTCGGTCGTGTATTTGAGCCCGTGTTCATCCAATCGCACTCGATCATGTGGGCCATCGCGTCCGTGTTTGGGTGGGACATGCTCTGGATTCTAGTCATGCAAGTGGGTAAAGTCCTAGGCTCCCTCTACGGTCCATACGTGCTGCAGCAGATCGTGCTGTCCATGGAATCAAATGCTGGTTTCGACATCACGTACTGCCTCGAGCTCATCGCGTCGCTCGTGGTGGTGCGCGTCGTGTCGGCGCTTCTGTCGGCGCACTCGGACTTGCAAATGCAAATGGTTGTCGTCAAGGTCACGTCGGCCCTCCAGCACTTGTTGTTTCAAAAGTCGCTTCGATTGGACGCCGCATCGCGTCGAGTCAAGTCCACGGGTGAGATCTCTAACTTGTTCTTGTCCGACATTCCCACGATCGTGGCCTTTTCCATGGTGGGCAACCAACTCGTGATCCTACCGGTCCAAATCATCTTGACGCTGTGGCTGCTCTACACTGTGATCGGGTGGTCCACGTTTGTCGGGGCCGCAGTCGTCGTATTCACGCTAGGGGGCAACCAGTTCCTGTCCAACACGATCGAGACGACCTTTGACGCGCTCATGAGCCAAAAAGACACGCGCATGAAAGCGATCAACGAAATGTTTGGCGCGATGCAAATCATCAAACTGAATGCGTGGGAAGAAATGTTTGCCGCGAAATTGGCCGTCGAACGCACCAAAGAGCTCGAGATTTTGTGGCGTTTGTTCGTTCTCGTCACGATCAGTGTCGTGCTGCTCTACTTGGGGCCAACTCTCGTGACCATTGCCTCGTTTGCATCGTACACGTTGCTGCAGCACCAAACCCTCCCCGCGTCGACCTTGTTTACCGCGCTCAGCTACTTTACCATGCTCAAGTTTCCATTTTCGTCACTGTCGATGACCATCTCCTCGACCATGCAAGCGCTCGTGTCTCTTCGACGTGTGACAGAGTTCCTCGACTTGACCGAAAAGAACGCGACCACCGTCTTCACGCCAGCCACGGCCCCCAAGGACAGGCTCCAGAACTACGTCGACAACGACGTGGTTGTGGCCATCGAAAACGCGAGCATTGGCTGGGACGTAGCCACCCCCCTCTTCCGAAACGTCAACTTGACCATCAAGCGCGGCGAGTTTGTGGTCGTGCATGGGTCGGTGGGCGAAGGCAAGTCGTCCCTGTGTGCCGCCTTGTTGGGCGAAATGGACAAGTTCAACGGGTCCATCTTTGTGGGGGGGCGTGTCGCGTACTACTCGCAGCAAGCGTGGATTCAAAACATGACCATTCGCGACAACATCCTCTTTGGTCACCCCTACGACCGCGTCAAGTACAACAACGTGCTGGCTGCATGTGCACTGTCCAAGGACCTGACGCTGTTTCCAGCCGGCGACCGGACCGAGATTGGCCAGAAGGGGGTCAACTTGTCGGGGGGGCAGAAGGCCCGCATCAGCCTGGCCCGGGCGTGCTACAGTGACGCCGACATTTTCATCTTGGACTCGCCCTTGTCTGCTGTGGACGCGATCGTGCAAAACGAGATTTTCACCAAGTGTTTTCTCGGTTTGCTTCGTCTCAAGACGATCGTGTTGGTCACGCACTCGCCGGAAATCATCGCGTCCTCATTTATCCATCGCACGATTGAAGTAAAGGACGGCCAAGTGGTCGATCAGGATGTGGTGGCTCTGGAAACCAGTCACGATAGGACGATCTTGATCGACCCAACGTTGCCTAGTCGACCTGGGTTTCAAGTGTCCAACGAAGTGTTGACGAAAGCGTACACGCCGACGCCCAACGACTACAGCACGATCATGTCGCCGTCCGTGTCGTCGCCCCTTGGCGGGCTCGGGGACAACTTATTTACGCCGGTGATGAAGCTCCGTGGCCAGACATTCGACGACGTTTCTGGCCAATTAGTGCAGGACGAAGAGCGGATGCAAGGCGACGTGTCATTGTCCGTGTACAGCGAGTACCTAGATGCGGCGGGGGGGTACGGTGCCGTGGTGAGTTTGTTATTTGGGTTGATCTTGTGGCAAGCGCTCACCGTGGGCAGCGACCTGTGGTTGAACGTGTGGACAGGCACGGTTGCAACCGAGTCCCCTCAGTAGTTTTTAGCCCAAACGTGGTACTACTTGAGCATTTACGCCGCGCTCGCTTTTCTGGCGGTATTTGCGACGGTGATTCAGTCGCTGATCGTGTACAGTTCGTGCATGAAGGCGTCCAGAGCATTGTTTGAGCACA